CCTCTGGAGAGGTTGGCCATGCCACAATTTGTCTCCATTCTCTTCTTGGGATTTTGGGTACACATTCACACATGCCAGCACATTTTTAAAGCTGTGGGGTCTGGGACTCAAATAGTATAGTCAGTCATGTGGGATCCAGCTATCTTAATCATTGCATCAACAGCTGGCCCTCAAAATATTTTTTTTAACAATTTATTTATTTCATTTTATTTATTATTATTTTTTTAAGTTTGCAGTAGGGTGCATTTAATCACCAGAGAGAGAGAGTGAGAGAAAGTAAGAAAGGCAGCCACCAGGTCTGATACTTGAACAATGGTCAGTCATGTGGGAGTTCAGCACCTCAATCACCATGCCACCTGCTGGCCTCACCCTCAAAATGTATTTTATTCACTTTATAATGAAATGTTGGATTCCTGAAGTATATTATTTCCGATGGTTTTAGTTTTACTTAAAAAAATTTTATTCTAGCTTCAAGTTAATATTTCTCATTTAAATAAGAAGTATGAAACTAATAAATATACAAATAAATGAAATAAAACTGTCCATATTGGTTTAGCATCTTAACCTTTTAATATGTATCTTACCACAGGGCCAGGAGGTTGCATGGCAGTTAAGATGCTGGACTCCCATGTGTCAACCAAGGTTTGAGTACTGGACCTGGCTGCTTGCTTTTTCACTTTCTCTCTCTCTTGGAATGTACATGCCGTATAACAAATTAAAATAATGATTAAATTAAATTAACAGTTCTTTAAAAAAAATATCTTACCAGAATATTCTAATTAATTTGTTGAGTGTAGATACATTATAAAATGATTTCTTCTATGTATGCTTTAGTTTACTTAATAATTGATACTTGGTATATATAATACATATATACACATAGGATGCATACATAGTATACAATGCATACATAATATAAGTAGTTAATATGTAGTGGTTATGTCACTAGACATATTGCTAAGATTTTCTATGTTAATAAGTTGTGCCTTGTTCCATTTTTTTAAATTGATGGCTAATGTTTTATTAAATGGATTTAACCCAAATTATTTAACACTCTACAAGCTACTTTCTGAAAAATCTTCCAACATGTTCTAAATTATGTGGAGGGGAGGAGGCAAGTCATCTAGATCAAAGTTAAAATAGAGGTAAACTGTTTTCATTGTAGAACTTCCTGGCATGTTTAATGTGCCTATTCAAAACTGTAAATTTTATTTTAATATTTATTTAATTAATCTATTATTATAATTTTTAATTTGACCAGAGATAAAGAGGGAAAGTGAGAAAGCAAGCTGCCAGGTCCAGGACTTGAACTGTAGTCAGCCATGTGGGAGTCAGCACCTTAACCACTCCATCACCTGCTGTACCCGAAAAACATAAATTAGGAAAAATTAGAATGGAGGCTATGAATTCTAGATTCTTCTGTGCTAAGCAATCCTCTTCTCATGTTCAGTCACTGTAGTTGCCCAAATTTTTCTGGGGAAAAACTGTGAAGATTCTCATTTGTTAAACTTTAGAGCCTTTCCAATCACTATGCATCTTCTCTTTCATCCAGAGGGAAAAGCAGCATTTTCTAAGATGTGGGTGCAGCACAAAAGGTCTAAGGAGAAAAGAGGAAGACCTAGAACAAACCACTCCATTACCATAGTTTGGGCCATAAGCCAGGCTCTGCATTGCTCTTTTACTTGGTCAAATCTCGGAGATTATTTTTTTTTAATCTGGAAAGTGAGTAAACTGGATCTATCAATCACTGTTCAGTTCTATAATTCAGTAACTCCTATTAACCAGTCAATACACACCTTGAAACACCATTATCTCTTAGAAACTCTTGGGCCAACAGCTATAATTGTAATGTCAGTACCTGTCCTCAAAAAAATATCCTCTAAGGGGGGAACCAGCAGTTAGCGTAATGGCTATGTTGCTGATCTCCCACGTAGTCGACCGCGGTTCGCGTCTCGGACCGGGTGGCTTAAATCTCACGCCGGGCGCGTGTGTGTGCGTGCCCAAGATCCCAAGAGGAGAATGGATATATATATATATATATCCTCTAAGACATTACCCACTAACATAATGCTAAATACACAAGCACTGTCTGTCATAAATTCTCAGCCAGAAGTAGCAGGGGCATTGTGCTTTCATGAATCGTAATACTTCTTATAAAGAGCTATTTAAATGGAAGTGAAAGTTTCCCAAGAATTTTGTTTAAAAGCCCTTTCTAGGATTTTTCAAAGAAGAATTCTTAAACAAAGGTGTGGATTATTTAACACTAAGTATGGCTGGCTTTACACTTTGGCAAAGAGAGGAGTTGGCTTCATGAAAGGCAAGAAATTACCTGTCCTAGAATAATTCTTCCAAGGGCTTGTCATAGCATTACCCTACCCATTTCCCTGGCTCCAAATTGTCTTCTGCAGATTCAGCTCATGACTGAGAAAATCAGAATGTGAGCAACTAGATGTAACCATAGTGAAAAGAGTTAGCACAGGAGGCAGAGATAAAAATCATCCTTCAGCTATTGGAGAACATGGGGTGCTGAACAGGAAAATAAGGGCCCCTGGAACAAAAGGCAGCAACTTAGGGGGAAAAGGGCAGGGCTAGGAAAGGAAAAGTAGGGTAGAATAGTGTTTCGCTGTTAATTCTTGGCAAGTTGTGGTCACCTGAAGGAGAGGACATATATGTTCCTTGGTTTAGAGCTAAACTCTTGCCACAGGCTCTGTAATTCACTGTAATCATCTTAGAAGTCATTCTGCTGAATGAATTTTTTAGTTTTTGCTTTACTACTTCTCATAAATAGTGCAATTCGTCAAGATTAATTCTATCCTGAAGTTTTCTAATTTTTTTCTTTCTAAATGAGTAAGTTAATATCATGCAAAAAAAAAAAAAGGTTTAATATCTCAAAATAATCCTGGTGTTCAGAGAAAGCTCGTTGAAGTCCATACTAACTGTCATAATTGCATTCTATTCTATCCCCTAGTATTTTGAGCATAATCACCATTTTCACCTTGCTGTGCCTCCGTGACAGCTGAGAAAAACGAATTATAGCAAAATCACTCTCAGCAGTTTTAATAGATGTAAAAGCAATATGAAAACTTCATGATTTATTATTTTAAAAAATTGATTAGATAGATATAGATATATGGAAAGATAAATGTGTGTATGTGTATGTTCACGTTTATTGAAGTACTGCATAAAAACTTTTTGAATTAACTGCCACAAACAACTGAGAGAAGGTTAGACCACTTACTAGGACCAGCCATGATGGCATGGGCTGTAAAAAGTAACTCAAATTGGATCAAGAACTTAAACCTATAAAGCACATGAAAAGCACATGTGACAAAGAAAAAATAAATTGAAGTTTATCAAATTTAAAAAATATTGCCACACCTATTACATGAAGAAAGAGAAAACAACATACAGAACATGAGAAAACACTGTGAATCCTATATCCGAGACACTGCTATGCAATGCTGGAGGCGTACATGAAGGGTCCAGGTTCATGTTCCATGAACATGACAGGCATACCCAGGGCACCTGTGAGCCTAGCTGGCTGTAGGGTTTGTAGAAGATCATGGCATAAAGACTTTGCCAAGAGTATGCCTCTGTTTCTCTCTCAAAATAAATCAATACACATTTTTTAAGATAAATTTTTGCTATAGGGTGTATGCACACAACAGAGAAAGACAGAAACAGAGAGATAGAAAGTGAGAAATAATTCCCCAAGGAGAATGGCCATGCTGCAATTTCCTCTCTTCCATTCTCCTCTCAGATCTTTGGACACACTTGCACACATGCCTGGTGTGTTTTAAGCTGCCAGGTTTGGGTCTTGAATTGTGACCGCAAAATCACTCTCAGCAGTTTTAATAGATGTAAAAGCAATATGAAAACTTCATGATTTATTATTTTAAAAAATTGATTAGATAGATATAGATATATGGAAAGATAAATGTGTGTATGTGTATGTTCACGTTTATTGAAGTACTGCATAAAAACTTTTTGAATTAACTGCCACAAACAACTGAGAGAAGGTTAGACCACTTACTAGGACCAGCCATGATGGCATGGGCTGTAAAAAGTAACTCAAATTGGATCAAGAACTTAAACCTATAAAGCACATGAAAAGCACATGTGACAAAGAAAAAATAAATTGAAGTTTATCAAATTTAAAAAATATTGCCACACCTATTACATGAAGAAAGAGAAAACAACATACAGAACATGAGAAAACACTGTGAATCCTATATCCGAGACACTGCTATGCAATGCTGGAGGCGTACATGAAGGGTCCAGGTTCATGTTCCATGAACATGACAGGCATACCCAGGGCACCTGTGAGCCTAGCTGGCTGTAGGGTTTGTAGAAGATCATGGCATAAAGACTTTGCCAAGAGTATGCCTCTGTTTCTCTCTCAAAATAAATCAATACACATTTTTTAAGATAAATTTTTGCTATAGGGTGTATGCACACAACAGAGAAAGACAGAAACAGAGAGATAGAAAGTGAGAAATAATTCCCCAAGGAGAATGGCCATGCTGCAATTTCCTCTCTTCCATTCTCCTCTCAGATCTTTGGACACACTTGCACACATGCCTGGTGTGTTTTAAGCTGCCAGGTTTGGGTCTTGAATTGTGACCGACTACATGGGAGTCTAGCAACATAATCGTTACACCAGCTGTTGGTCTCTCAATAAATTTTTTTAAAAAGACTGAATGTTAGACAAGTGGAAGTTAAGTTGATTCATGTTGGATTACTTGTTTGTATTCTGTGAATTGTCACCTGGAATCTATGCAGACAAGTGGACTTGATACATAATACTCAGTGAATTCTATTGATTCTGAGAGTAAAATTTGATGTATCAAACATAAAGTCATTAACATAGAATGGCTTTACCAAAAATTATCTATTGAAGTTATTTTAAATAGTCTACCCATTAATGGTTTATACTGATCAGCATTAACTTGCATGTAATAAACTGCATTTAATATGTTTCTTTCAATAGTTAATTTTACCTCATGTAAATGGCACTATCTTCTTTCTTCAAAATTTGGCACCTTAATTGATTTCCAGAATCAATTTTGTTCAAAACTGAAAGGAAAATATAAAAATTTATTAAATATCTATATAGTTTCCTTTAATAGAGTCATTGTCTTTTCCGTGAGAACATTGGACCCTCTTCAATTTCCATGCTAAAAAACTTAATTTATTTGCATTTGAGAATTTAAATCATAATCCCAAGAGGAAAAAAAAGAAAAGAACTAAGTAAACATATCTTCTCAAAGCAGTAAAAACTCAAACTTGTTTTCTCTTATAGTCATGTAAGCAAAGAAGCATTTCTGAATTCTGGATTCAATATAGGAATAGCCCAAGAAATGACTCTATGCACTAAAACAAAGAAGTGACTTAGAAAAAAAGATTTTGATTCCTACAGAGCCTTAATCCCTCCTGTGCCATTAAGCTCCTACAACTTTACATATTCAACATGCTACAACCTGCCTGCTCTCAAAAACTTTTTTTTAAGATAAATAAATTTGATACATCATATAAAATGACACATAAAGTCAAAATGTCTGTAGATCTTTTATTGACCCATCCTGTGTTAACCAAATTTCCAATCCTATAAGGAGAATAAGAGACCTCAGTTGAACTTAAGAGAAGCCAGTTATTTTCTTATTCAATATTTGCTTGCATGTGTTAAAATTATAAAGATACCATATGCAAAAAAAGTATTGGACAGTGCTTTATGTCGGAAAAAGTAACTCAGATTGGATCAAAAACTTAAACCTATAAAACACATAAAAAGGAAATGTGACAAAGAAAAAATAAATTGAAGTTTATCAAATCTAAAAACTATTGCCGCACCTATTCCATGAAGAAAGAGAAAACAACATACAGAATGTGAGAAAACACTGCAACTCCTGTATCTGATAAGGGTCTGGAATCTAGAAAAGAAAGAACTCTTACAACTCAATAATGAAAAGGACAAATACTCTAATTAAAATTCACAAATAAATTTAATAGATAGCTCTTGCAAAGATATACACAAAAGGCTAAAAACATTTTTTAAAGCTCAACATAATTTATCACCAAAGAACTATAAATCAAAACCACAATGAGACACTATTTTACAAGCACTAGGATGGCTACGATGGAAAAAAAAGCAGACAAAAACATATTCATGAGGATGTAGAGAAGTTGAAGTTGGACCCTTCACACATCGCTGATGGGAAAATTGTATCGCAGTTCCTAAAAATGTTAAACATAGAATTACTACTTGACTCAACAATTCAACTTCTCAATAATACACTCAAGAAAATTGAAAATATGTGCTCAGAAAAAGACACATACATGAAAGTTTGTCATGGCATTGTTCATAATAGTTGAAAGTTAGCCCAGGACCAGTCAGTGATTGAGGCAGTTAGAGCTCAAAAGGCCAATTACATGGTTCAAGCCCCAGACCCAACAACTTGAGAAACACAGACGCATATGCATGAGCCCCCAAAATCCCAAAAGGAGAAATGTAGGAGAAGGGATTGTGGCATAACTAGCCTCCATGGAGAATACTTTCTCACTTTCCTTCCCTCTCTCTCTCTCTTTTTCTGGACAGCACCTTTATTTAAAAAAAAATTTTTTTAAAGCCTAAATGTTTAAAAACTAGTGAATGAATAAAATATTATATATTCATAGCTATACAATGAAATATTATTGGCAGGAATGAGGTCTAAATACATGATACGATCTGGATCAATTTCAAAAACAGAGCTAAACTGAAGAAGTCACAAATGACCATATATTATCATATGATTCTATTTGTATGAAAGGTCCACAACTGGCAAACCAGTAAAGACAGAAAGTATTAATAGTTTTGTGGTTGTCCAGAGCTGAGGAGCAGAATACAAGTGAATGGTAAGGCGGTAGTGGGAAGTGACTGCTGAAATGTATAAGCTTTTGTTTGGAGATGATGAAAATGTTCTAAAATTCGATTATAGTGATAGTTGCCAAGTTTGTAAATATACTAAAAACGATTGAAATGTATATTTTAAATTGTGAAGTAAATGCATGTAAATGATATCTCAATAAGCTCTTTTTTTTTTTCATTTAGTTTGGTTTTATTTGTTTTGGAGAGCTTTTGATTTTAGATTTTTTGGGGATCATAGGGCAACTGCACTCACTAGAGAGAGACAGAGAGAGAGAAAGAAAGTGAGAAACCACCCCTGGGGGGGTGGATGGCCATGGCGAATTCTCTTCTTCTCCAGTCTCCTCTTAGGGTTTGGGGTATGCACACATAAGTGCCCTGTATATTTTTCAAGCCACCAGGTCCAGGTCTTGAACTGTAGAATTGGTCATGTGGGATCCAGTCCCTTAACCATCAGGCCACCTGCTGGCCTTCTTTGTTGGTTTTTAAAAACACATGCATTTTTAAAAATCCAGAAAAGGGGCCAACAGGTGGCATGGCAGTTAAGGTGCTAGACTCCCACATAGCCAATGGCAGCTTGAGTTCTGGACCTGACAGCTTAAAAATCACACTGGGCGCATGTGCACATGTGCCCAAAATCCCAGGAAGAGAAAAGACGAGAAAGAAGAAAGGATGGCAGTGTGTATGCATGTGTGTGTTGGGGGGGGGGGGGATTTCTCACTTTTCCTCCTTTCGCTGTCTTCTTTGTCTTTGTCCAGCAAGCCTCTGTACCCTATGGCAAAAACATTAAAAAGAGAGAGAGAGAGAGAGAGAAACAGAAGAAATTACACCATCATATCCTGCCTGTAAAACTTATATTCTGACTCTTTCTCAATGGGGCACATATTTAACTCAATTCAATTACATATCAGTATCTCTAAAATTGTGTTACTCCATTATATACAAATTATTCTACTGTTCAACTAAGGAAAACTAAAAGCTTTTGCAATAGACACAGATACCAGCAAATGGCAAAATGGTTACATCACTGGACTCCCATGTAGTCGACCATGGTTCAGTCCCGGACCCGGTGGCTTAAAACTCACGCCGGGCGTGTGTGCGTGCATGCCAAAAATCCCAAGAGGAGAATGGAGGAGAAGGGATTGTAGTGTGGCCGTCTCTCTGAGGGATTTTTTGCTTTCTATCTCTTTGTCTTTCTCTGTCTTTCCAGTGAGTAGATGTGTCCTATAGCAAAAAAATCTCTCTCAAAAATAATAAATAATATGGGGTAAGCAGGTGGTGTGGTGGTTAAGGGCACTGGACTCCCACATGGCCAACCACGGTTCAAGTCCTGGACCTGGTGTCTTTCATTCTCACTTTGCCTGTCTCTCTGGTCAAATTGGAACATAATAGTAGTAATAAAGTTAAAATAATTCTATACATAAACAAATAATAGACATATGTATTTCTAAATTATATGCCGAGAGTATCATTGGAAGGAAGTAAAAGAAATGCTGGAGTATGACAGGCTGTTATGGTTTAAGGTAGTGTATAGTGTTTTTAAATCCCTGCAGATACATTTTGAAGAGACTTGAGGCTAAGTTAGCAAAGACACTTGGGAATGCACGCATGCAGACATTCAAAAACAAGGGCTGATTATTTTGCTTGTGCCAACAAAAAGTTGGCACAACAATATGGCCAAGCCAACAACTGGATGCAGACATGTCTGTTGTGGCTGATGGATATTGCTTTGGCACTGCAAGGAAGCAAGAAGCCCTGTGGAAAAAATCGTAAGGGAAGAGGGCAAGGAACAGATCAGATTGGCTGGATAACCAAGAATCATCAAATAGGTGGAACAAAGGGCACTGTGACCTCTCTCACTCTGTTCTGCCCTCCAGTCTCAGCTTCCAAGGACTTATGTCTGATATCTGTGGCAGAGTGGAATATAAAACCTGTAAACCCTAAAGAAAACAGAACTGTCCACCCAGAAGGGAATCAGAAACATTTTTGGTCTTATATTTTCTTCATCCATATACCTCCACCCCAAAATTAAATGTGAAACTATGTGTATAGCAAACCATCATTTGTGTGAAAACAAAAATGTATACGTGGCTTTGTATTTTCCTCTACAGGTATAGAATAACTCCGAATGAATTAATAAGAACTGATAACATAGGTTGACTCCCATGATGAGACTTAGGGATTTGGGAATGGGGTAAAAAAAGTTTTCTTCGTTTTTTTTTGTTTGTTTATTTGGTTGTTTTTTTTTTTAGATTTTTTTAATAGAGAGCGTGCACTTGCAGGAGAGACAGAGAGAGACAGAAAGACAGCAGCAAGAAATCACCCCCCAGGGGAAAGGCCACACCACAATCCTTTCTCCTCCTTTCTCCTCTCAGGATCTTGGGCATGCACACACATGCATGTGGCGTGCCTGCCCACCCAGGAATGTGGCGTGATTTTTAAGCCACGGGTCTGGGACTCGAACCATAGTCAACTACGCGGGAGTCCAGTGACGTAACCATTACACCATTTGCTTGTCCTGGAAAAAAAGTTTTTTTGTACTTTTCTTCTGTGTTTTTCTTTGTGTGTGTGTGTATGTGTGCTTTTAAAATTTTGAAGCATGAGGATATTCCGTCTGGTCAGAAATAAATTAAAATGTAAAACAGTTATATAGATGCTTCTGTATATCATCATATACATGTATCTTGTATGTATATATAAACGTGTGTATATGCATGCATATATAAATACACATTTTTTTTGACAACTAGAGGACTTTGTACAAGTACAAGGACTTTGCCTTCGCACAGAGTCATTTAATTGCCAAGACCACTAATGGACAGGGACATAGATGCCTGACAAGAATGTTGCCCTAGAGGCAAAGCAACAAATTTCAAGGCCATGGGGACTAGGCCAATGGAATCTTGGTCATGACCACAATGAGCTGTAGAACAGAGTCACTTCCCCAAAGCTTTTGCATCATGTGTATCCCCTGGAACAGCTCTATTTACCTAGAAAACAAAATAATCAGCCATAAGAGAACCCACAAAAATGCTACTTAAAAATTTAATTCACAGGGCCAGTCAGTGACCTGAATCCCACGTGGCTAACTGCACAGTTTAAGTCCCAGACGCAGCAACTTGAAAAGCACACCAGGCATGTGTGTATGTGTGCTAGAAATCTCAA